ACGTTCACCTTCGACGCCATTTTTGATGTTTTGGCTTTTATAATGTGTTGAAATGGCAAACAAAAACATGACTGAAATTGTGGAAAATAGGTCAGCTTTCATGGTTTTACCACATAAAATACATGTCTTACTCTTATCTATTTATAATTTTGATAATTTTCATTCTCGTCCCTATAGCCATTTTCACTCAGTACGTCACTCGTTGAAAATCAAGCTATTGGTTAGACGACCAAAGGGATCGGAGAGTTCTGATTGGATTCTCGGAGGACTGTTACTTCGCAGAAGTTGAGCAGTTTTCGTTATGCAAAATTATTCTATCAAGATATGCCAACACAAATATTTCATTTCTTCGTAATACTTGAGGTCCGGATTGGAGGGGGTTATCCAAAACATCCAAAACAACCAAAACATGTGAAAATTGTAACGGTGCTAAAGCGTCCCAATTGCGTTTTAGAAACCACTGCAAGTCTTCTTGCACTTCCGATTCCGTGTGTCCCAGGACCTTGGGAGGACGTGCGCGACCAAGACGCCCTGGGAACGAGGATGGATAATTTTGGCAACATTATTATGAAATGGACTCATCAACCTGACTTCGAGTGGCTTCGAGAGATTCTGGCCGAAGGACCGTTTGAACAGCCCAAGGTTCTAGAATGATTTGAATGGTTTGGCAAAAAATCGTCGACGCTTTATTTTAAAGGATATATTAAGTATATGACATGAAATTTCTTATTTTCTTAAATGAAAGAACTCTTTAAGTTGTAGTGTAAATTATTTTTCAGTTTCTTGTTTTTATGTTTTGTTTCCGAGATATTTAAATTTGTTTGATATGTAAATGAGTGTGAATATGTCCGCTAATTTATGACGTCATGTTGGTTGCAAGCTCAACTTACACTAAAAACTGTTGATATCAGTTCACGTTTTTATCCAATATTTCATCACATTTACCAGCGAGCGATGTTTGAAATTATTATCTTGGTTGATAGCAGTGATATTCAACCGTTTTAAAGAGCTTGCAACCAACATGACGTCATAAATTAGCGGATATATTCATACTCATTTACATATCAAACAAACTAAAATATCTCGGGAACAAACCATAAAAACAAGAAACTGAAAAATAAGTTCCACTACAACTTATGGAGTTATTTAATTTAAGAAAATAAGAAATTTCATGTCATATACACTTTAAGAACTAGCAGTGCGAGTGAGATATGGAATACCAAGGAAGTGAATTTGACGCTATGATGGAGGAAATAATTCGCTTGTTTGAAAGCAACGAAGAGCGTCAAGAAAAGCGGGAGAAGGAAGAAAAATATGAGAATGAATAAATCTTGGCAGAAGATACGAGACTTAAGGCACTGGAAACGATTGGTGAAACGAGGAAAAGGAAAAGCGAATAAGAGGACCATGGTGATCTGCCTGGTATTCTACAAAACGAAGTGCAACCTTGGCATATACTTAAAAGAAAAGCACAGAAATGATTTAGACATACAGAAGTAGGAAATCGAAGTACGAAAGCAAGAAACCGAGCCCAGAAAATCAGAGCTTCAGATGCAAAAGGTTCAGAACGATAATCAAACGAAGTTTCTTGTAAAGTTAACCAAGAAATAACTGGTTCGGTGTCAACTTTGTCCACAGCAAACCAAATGGATGTCTTTTATTAGTTGTGTTGCAGTTGACGATGCTGTTTTGAATGCAGTTTTTTTTTCATAGATCTTTTAAAGCATTGAACCAAGTAACCCTATAGATGTTTGACATATTTTAATATTGAACATATATATTATTTGAAAAAAAATATTTAAAAAGATCTTAAATATTATTTTTCCATATCTGGCATTTTATGAACATGAGTTTAACCTAAACTCATATAGGACATAAAGTTTCAATCACTAGAGGCGACAACTTGAAGGGATTGAACACACGACGATTTGCATCAGAATGGTCAAAGACGTCAATTAGTGATCTGGAGAGACATTCTCATGCAACTTGTTGCAATGCTTGGAGACCACTACACAGAGTGCATCGCTTTATGCGGATTTTATCGGGTATTATCAAAACTGTTTTTAGACTGTGACTATCATCTTTTTAAATCTAAAATCAACTTTACTAAATAGTTTATCCGTAGTATTCCAGTTAAACTCCTCGTATCCATGAAAAGGAAAATTTGATTGCTTAAACGCGAAACGTATTTTCGTACGTATTTTCGTTTTCCGCTATTAATTTAATGAAAAATATTCTTCATCGATATCTTCCTCAGCCAACAGAAACAGCAGTAAATTTTCATAATCTATGTTTTCATCGAGCATATCTTCAAATTTATGTTTTCCGTCATTTTTTAATTTCTCACCAAAACACCCGTCGAGCAAGAATTGCCAAACATTTATTTTTCGCAACGGTTACGCGGTTGTCGCCTCATCCCCCTAAGGATTTAAGATGTAGCCGTTGGCCGACGCTACGCGATAGCGCTCAACGGGGCCCTTTAACTATATTCATGAGGGATGTTACTTTATGATAAACAGTTCTCGATTTAAACACCCACTGACCAGCTATTTTTTTACAACTGTCAAAATTGTCCCGCCATCAAGCGAAATTTTCTCAATATATAAACAGAAGACATGTCCTTCCTTTCAAAAATTTAGCACTATCATACAAAACGTTTGGCGAACTTGAATTTATCTTCAGTATGCAATTACTATTGCATGAGCACGGCAGGAGTTTTTAGTATGACACAATATTTACTCTCTTTCCAATTACGGCTTGATGTTTTAAATCTAAACAATTGCCGTGCATGTTAAGTTTAAATTAGTTTTTCTCCAGTATGAACCTTAATTAGGTTCAAAGAGTTGCTTACCTGCCTTTAGATCTAATACACAAATTATAATATTGTTAACGGACATTTTAAAAGTGTAAATAAGTGGATATTGTGGTTTCATTGTGCTCTAATGCGGGCTACTTTATTATTTTACTCGTGAAGTGAGAGCGATCTCAAAGCATGGATAATAAAATAAATGGATATGAAACTAGCTGACGTGACCTAATGTTTTTACTGGGATTGATGGCGTGGCTGGGTGCCTCAACCTAGTTGAAAACCAAATTCTCAAAAACGGCATGTTTAGCAATAATACAGCTAAACATTTTAGTCAAAGAGCAAATAAATGTAACCACGCCATTCTACGATGAAAACTCTAAGTATTCCCAGTCAATTTTAGCAAATATTTCAAGCACTAAACAGTGAAAAATACATCGCAAATTTCGTTAAAATTTGTGACGCCAATTTCGTAGCTACAAATGTAAAAAAATACAAAACAAAGACGAAAAACATTTACCTTGAATACTTTGTCGTGGCTTAGGCATGTTTTTAAAACAATTAGACCAGTTTACGCTTCAAGATCACCCTTTTAAAGTGGAAAATATAGCAAAACAACAAAAATGCCGAGAACTTTGGTAACATTCGCAATACGCGTGACGTCACGTTTTTCAACAAGGATGCAGTCAATGACGTCAGAAGTTTCCAATCCATTTATTTTATTATCCATGCTCAAAGTAACCTATTCTGACGGCAGGCTGAAAAGTTGGCTTGACCAGGGTAGGAATGGAACCCGCGACCTTTGGAATACTAGTCCAATGCTCTGCCAACTAGTACCTTCGATACCAATGTGTTCTGTGATCATATTTTTGTGTGTGTTCTTTGATCTTATATCCTCAGGTGAAAGTAATGTTTTTGATGATACTTTGAGCGCAAATCCACACCGGGCAGGCTGAAAAGTTAGCCTGATCATGGTGGGAATCGAACCCGCAATTCCCACCGTGGTCAGGCTAACTTTTCAGCCTGCCCGGTGTGGATATAGCCTACACTCGGAGTAGCATCAAACACATTATATTCCCTGAGTGCATAACATTATGCAGAAGACACACACAAAACCACTTTAAATATTAATGTTCAAAAATGTATTAATAATTCATGAGGAAAACACATTCAAAGCAAAATTATAATTTATAAGCATGTTATATCTTTTTATGTGGTAGAAATTCCCCTTGATTTAAATTAACTTTGGTTTTCTCGACTTACACAACGTATTTTTTTTAACTAATTACTTCGCCAATAAACTTACTAGATTGATTGTTTTTGAAACAATTTAAAATATTCGCATGCATGCAGTGCGTGTTTATCAGACCAAAAGATACTTGCCTTCGCCTTGTATATTTATATCTGATAAAACTGCCAGCTGCTCATTTTTTAAATAGTACATTAACACGTCATGCATGGTTTTTTCGAATATTTCTTCCAAGTTCGCAGTAAAAAGCCATAAAAAACTGAAACTTTTTCCGCGAGCGACTCAAATTAAACCTTTTTTATATTTTAGCATTATCCCGGTACCCCCATAAACCTTTTTAAATGCTAATATGCATGTTTATGAATTAATGGTATTTCAACTAAAAGCACATAACAGTGAACTGAAGATACAATAACAACTAAAACAGCATTGTTCTCACTTTTATTGACGTACAATGTATACCAGGCATTTATTTAAAATATCGCAAGGCTTTGAACTCTTTAAAATCACGTACTAAATAAGTTGCTGTGAGGACAGTTACGAAAGTTGATTATATAATTTGATACATTTCCACCACTCACTCGCACATAACACAAAGTGAGTCACAGGGCTATAATAAAGACACAGACTACTGTTTCGTATTACTCTCAAATACATAGTCAAAGCTCACTCCTTATCATGTGTGCATGCAGGTATTTCTTTTAATTTAGTCTTTGTGCCCGCATTTCGACAAAACAAGGAACACAAAATAATTTTAAACTCATCCTTATATTGCTTATTGGAGAATATGTAAAGGACAGGATTGAGGCTGGTATTTAAAAATGCCAAGATATGTAGTCCGTTGTGAATAGAATTGTCCATTTGAATGAAATTCAACTCAAAAAGGCAAAAATATATTTGATCGGGTAGCCAACAAATTACTACAAGAGCAGAGGCCGCGCAAACCATTCGCGTAATCCTTCTCAATGTCAGATAGAATTTAATTTCCTGACGACTAGGATGACTTGAACCAGTTGTGTTGCACGAAGATTGCTTTATCGTGATCATCATTTTCCCATAGGCTATAGTCATCAGCACCTGGGCTAGAAGACCCTTTGCAATAAATAGCAACAACGTTGCCATTATATTTTCAGGTGATCCGTCGACCTGCACCCGCTTACACACAAAAGATCCGTTATCTTTCCTTGAACTTTGAGCGTTCAATGCCGTTTTTGTTTCAATTCCGAAGCCTGCAATCCAGGGAAGAATTGCCATGGTTGCAATAACCTTTGCGGAGCTACAAAAGCGTTTGTAGGTCGAAGGTTTACAAACGGCAACTAAGCGATCAATAGCCAACATAAGACACGTATAGATAGATGAAACGGATAAAGCGAATGGAACATACCATGACCATACTAACGAGCAATAAAGCTCTCTCAATTTCGGATGTGTAGGAAGGTCGTAAACGTCTGCAGGTAAAGCAAATCCAGGTAACACCAACAGGTTGATCGCTGTTATAATATCCTGAATAGCGAGGGCCAGTAAAAGACATGTATGAGCGTTCTTAAGCCAGTCTCGTCTCTTTATAAACAAAACAACCACAAGGATATTGCCTGTTAAAGTGACAACTGAAATTATCCCAAGGAGTGCTGCATTAACAATTTGTTCCATCTTTCACATTATTGTCAGTTACAATATAAGGCACGCTTGGAAGTATCACGACAGTATATTCAGAACAACGGCTGTGCTTTGACTGTAAATTCTGCAATTAAGTAATGCGTCTTCTAAGTCCCCCGAAAGCTTCATTTTCTGACAGCAAATGGCACCTGCTTCCAATTAAGATGTCTTCCAGTTCGGAATATCAAATTTATCAAATTTTATTTCTGTGTGTGTTATGATAGCCGTTTAATTACAGAGAATAACTGATGTTGATAAATATTTCTTGTAGTAAAAAAAGAGAAAATAAAGTAATAATGCATAATTAAGAGGTAGACAAAGTGTCGACGGTAAAACGGTAAATAGTCTACAATGTCGTTTATAGCGTGTTTTTAATTAAACACCGATAATATATATTGCCCCCTTGGACAGGAAGTTAAATTGAGTCTGATGAACCTGATTTTGTCTATAAACCATACAGACAGTGACGGCTGTGATACATTTGTGTTTAAGTTCGCAGTAAACGCCAGGCTAATCGCCCACCCTAAATTTTTACATGCATCAATGTTGTGTAGTCGCTAAAAATTGAAATGATTCAAACCGAGATATCGCTATTTATAACATCATAGTTTTTATATCGTCAGAATTGAGATAATCTTATTGTCGCGGTCGCGCGTTTTTTCGTGGGTCTCGTTTTTTTTTTCGGGAGTGGCTGCTTTTTTTCGCTGTTCGTCGGGTGTTAACGCAAGTCGCGAGTTTTTTTGCGGGCCTTTTGTCGCGAATCTTTTGTCAGCGGTCATATTATAATTCGGTACCAAGTATACGCGATCGAGGAATGACCAGAATTCGAATGATTTGGTAGCCGAGTTCGCCAAATTCGATGACTTATTATCCCAATGAATACAAACGAGATATACATATACTATTTTAATTTGTGTCATTAATGACACAGTGTTCTAATCGTTCAGTGTTTTTATTAGGCTATAAAAGTAGACAGTGGCGTAGCTAGCGGTCATGCTGGTCATGCTGAGCATGACCAAAAATTTCCCCCAAAATAAGGAATTTCTTTCCGCTAAAATTCAACTTCAAATGTTTTAGCTTTTCGAAACTTTCACAAGTACTTTAGACAAGATTTCGCTCATATATTATGTCATTTTCGGCAAAATATTGCTCATTTGCATAGGTTACCTAGCAACAAACATGCCGAGATCATGTGAATTTCGTGTATACAGCATGTTCCACGCATTTTGCGGTCTAGTCATGCCCTCTGAAATCAGCATGACCAAGTAATATATTTTATCGTAGAAATACTGGCAATCTGATTGGATAATGGCAACTGCGCATGCTCACACGCACTGTGTCGCAACATCTGAGCAGTTATAAGGTTCGCCAATTAATAGACATGGTATTTTCTAAAAACAATAAACATAATGAAATGCAATGTAAAACAATTTCAAATAATATCGCCCTGCTGAAAAGAGCAAAATTGTTTGTCAATAGAGATAGTCTGATAAAAATCTACAATGCCTTAGTGTGGCCTCATTTCAATTATTGTTCAACAATCTGGAATGATGGATGTTGTTCGATAATTGATAAATTGTTTATACTGCAGAAGAGAGCAGCGCGTGTGATAACAGGGGACACATACGAGATTCGTTCCATGCAAACGCTAGATAGTCTTAATTGGCTTCCAATAGAAGAACTTCTAAAACAACGACAGTTAATAATGACATTTAAAGTACTAACTGGTCGATTACCTCGATACCTTGAAAAATTGTTTTCAGTAAGTCAAAATGACAATTACAATCTAAGAAGCAATCAAATTAAATTGAACCTACCCAAACCTAAGACAAATTTTCTCACGAACTTCCAAGTGAAACTATTGAAAATTATAACAATCTTTCAATTTTGTCGTTTAAACGGCAATTACTTAATTCATCCGTATCAATTCATTGTAAATAGTTATATTCTTTTTGTCCTTTTTATATTATTGTTGTAAACACACGGCCCTTTGAAAACCAGCGCTGTAAATATTATCTGCTGAACAGGCTACCGTGTTTAAATAATTTTATTAAAGATTAAAGATTAAAGATCTAGTCATGCTCATTTTCCAGAGCATGACTTGAGCTTTTGTCCTTTGATACAGTCTTTCTGTTCGAGATAATTCACGCTTGAATTAGTCGTATACTCCGTTCAGATGTCAACTGATCAAGGTAAGTGAATTCGCATTGTATTAATTTGCATTTTAATGGTTTCTGGAAGCGTGACGGCTTCCACAGAGGCAGATATTATAAGTGATATGCTGAAGAAACCTTAAATTCTCTGCTCGTCAATCAGGCGAGCAAAATATAATTGTAACACAACGGCCAATGGCGAATTTACAATCGACCACTGGAGATAGAAGCTCTCAGGAGAGTTGATACACAAAGAAAGATTGGCTTTGTGGTAGTTTTACTTGTTTAACCAAGAAGGCAATGTTTTGCTGGCCATGTTATGCACCTATCAATGTTAAGCCCCAGAGGTGGGGGGTCGGGCATATGTGGGGTACTGGGGCATTTTTCAATCAAATGCCCCACCGTCGGGCAATAAATATTGGTCAAATACTTCACCATTTTGCAATAAATTGCAATAAACACTATATTAATAAAAGTCATTTGGTTCACATTGCCCTAACTCAGAGGCCCACCAAGGGGTTATGACCAACAGGTGACATTCCTTAAAAAGAGGCGACAGACTATGTACTAAAGAGTGACAAACGACAGCTTCTGACTGGGAAAAAGCGAGAAATTGTGATTTGTGTTATGGGTCAAAAGTGACAGTGACATCTATTGTAATAAAACAAGCGACGAAGCAGCTAAAAAATGAGTGACAAGCGACCTGGGTTACACCCTTGATGGGCCTCAAATCAGGCCCAAAATGCTAATCAAAATTCCCAGGGTGGGGATTCAATTTATTATAAAATACCCCACATATGCCTGACCCCCCTCAGGGGCTTAAATTATATCAGGGAATATTAGATTTATAGGGGAAATATCTACATGAAAGTGGTGACCTCAAAATATATATATGTTATTTACCGGATTGGAGGTCCGTATGGAGAAATATTTCTCGAGGTCTTAAAAACGGCCCGAGGCCGAAGGCCGAGAGACTTTTTTAAGACCGAGAGAAATATTTCTCTATACGGACCAACCATACCGGTAAATAATAGTTTTATTTTTTTTAATTCCCCTCTCATAAATTCATATTCCCCCAAATAAAACGTCGTTTCTATCAATGCTAGGAAGAGTAATATCTTCTGTGGAATAGTAAAATTCACTTTCACTGTGTTCTCCATCGTCTGCAGACATTTTAATGTTAAAAAGCAGCTTAAATAAGCGCGTCTTTAAATTTTCAAAAATAAAAACATTGACTCTACGGCTTTAAATCTCGCGCGGTCCGTACGGGCTCATACGGACCGATCGCGTAGCCAATCAGATTGCAGAAAAGCGTAAAATATGATTTCGGACCGCAAGAAAAAAAATAAATTTAATATTTCTTTTACCATAACTACCAATACCAGAGTTATACGCCTGTATTGTAAAAGCTCACTCACACTCAATGAGTGGAGGTTTAATCTGAGCTTACCTTGAGTGTTAATTGTTTTTGAATAGGTCGAGGGTGAGTAGTCACATAGTAAGGTTCGACACTAACTCCTCAGCTTTCCAAAACAGCAATGGCACTCAAGAGAAGCTCAGATCGAATCTCCACTCATTGAGTGCGAGTGAGCTCTTAGCTAGAATATAAGCAACAGGGGAAATATCCACTCAAATGTGGTGATATAACTATTCCTGGGGAAATAACCACTTGACTTAAATGTGGTGACCCCAAAATATAATTTCATATCTTGCTTTTGCTATAAGGTCTATTAATTTTTTTAATAAAATGAACAGGGAAGGGAAATATCCACTCAGATGTGGTGAGTCCATGATAATTTATAACTCTTCCTCGAGAGATAACCACTTGACTTGAATGTGGTGACCCCAAAATATAATTTCCTATTTATTTTTCATTAGATAACCAGAGTTATATGGGAAATATTCACTCAAATGTGGTAGCTCATATGATATAACTTTTCCTGAGGAGATTGACTTGACTTGAATATGTGGTCACCCTAAAATTTAATTTCATATCTTGCTTAGATTGCTATGAGGTCAATGACCAGAGTTATAAGGGAACTAAGGTCATCTAAGGTTATTAGATGACCAGAGTTATAAGGGAAATATCCACTCAAATATTATGTGGTGAGCCCATGATATACTGTAACTCTTCCTGGGGAGATAACCACTTGAATATGGTAACTCCAAAATATAATCTCATATATTTCTTTTACTATAAGTTTTATTTTTTATTAGATGCCCAGAGTTATATGGCAAATATCCACTCAAATGTGGTGGCTCATGAGGAGTGATGACATGTGGTGACACATAATTTCCATGTTATTCTTTACTATTTCTATATTAATTAGACTTGCACAGAAAATTGCACCAGTCTTCACCTCACCAGTACAGAAAGTTTGTCTCGCATTAACATATTAGTCTATGGCTTATTGTATGCTTTTATGTACTTCTTTTTCGTTGGAAATGATGAGTGTCGTTCTAGTGCAGAATCATAACTTTTTTATTATTGTTTGCAGTTTGCACCCAATCTGAGCCAGTAATAACTCGTTTGAGTTATTTGTAAGGTAATTAGTAATGCTGTTCATGCTGAAATAACATGTTTTTATTGTGTTTTCCTGAAGCTGTTTTGCTTTTTGGATGGAGTTTATTATATGAATTTCCATACGTTTCACCGCACAGAACGCAGGAAATTAAGTTCGAGTGACGCTAAATTGCCCAAATGTTTTGTATGAATATGAATATGAATAGATAAATGTCTGAAAAGGCCGTTTCCGACGATCTAGAAGCCCTAATTTTTTAATTTTTTCTCGCTCGGCGCCAACCATGGTGTCGCCTCGTGAGCTTCCAACTCAGCTAATA